CACACTGCAGAGGCTGAGGAGTACCCGAACGGAAGGTGTTGCCTGGAAATTGAATGTTTAGTGTTTCTTTTGGTAGGAGGGCGGGGGGACTCATCAATAACTCGCAATTAAGGAGCCCTCATGCGGGGTAGGTGTGAACGACTCCTTGGCCGATTAGAAAACATTTTGAACAAGCAAACAAACAAAGCAAACGAGGACCAGCAGCATCCCCTCTACGTCTCCCTGTATCCCGTTGCTATCTATCATTCCCAGGGAGATTCAGATCTTGAGCCGAGTTTCCCTCATAGTTTTTTGGGCCGCAATCCCCCAGCGGTTGGGTGTAATTTAGATTTATGCTCACTCACCCTCTACTGCACTGAAAGAAATTATAGTAATTACTATAGCTGCAGCTTTATAAAGACTTAGTAAATCCATTCTAGAAAGTTTAACCTATCAATAGTCTTGAAAATGTACCCATTTTACGTATCGATTTCTCACCGTGTAACTTATCTCAGCATCTTGTATCGAAGTCCATCTATGGCAAGTTCGCGTTGATTATGCTTGATTTATATGACAGTCGAGCCTCCGCCTTAAGCCCTTTGCCACGAATGAGGGTTTTGTGTCGCTGTTGCCCCGGGAGATGTGTTAATCCATCGCCAGCTAGGACTTGGTGGGTTCGTTGTCCGGGTCAACTTCCGACTTTTGGTGGCTTTTGACTTTGGTTCCGTTTTAATTGAGCGCCATCGAAACACGCCCCCATAAATCAAGCGGGACAGTCAGTCGGTCTGTCTGTCAGCCCGTGAGTTATTCACTCAACCACACAATGTCCAGCTGTCAATCATTTTGCGTAGTTTGGTGCGTAAAAAAGAAGGAGGAAACGACAATTTAACGGCAGCTATCACAAAACACTCATATCGCTACAGAAAGGGAGACCTGTCAATGGAAATGGGTAAGGGAAAGTCTATGCCAATTACACTAGGCTACAAGTATAGGAAATTGAGTGGGTCTTTATAGAGTATTTACTGGGATTCCTATGATTTAACTTATTTTTCTAAATTTATACTGCTTAAATACTCTTAAATTTGTTAAATAAAATATATACTTTATATTCTTATGCTTTTAGAAAGCACTTTACTGCTTCTCACGCTTTTTTTCCGTAAGAACTACCTGTTGGCCAGTGTTAAAAAGCCATCCTTTTAAGGGAAAACTTCATTAGACCAGGAATGTAATGCCCCGGGGCCAAAAACGGCAGTTGCTTTTTAATGAGCCCTCAGCAGATTCCGTTAAGAGAGTGGGGCAAATGTGGCAAGTGGCAAGATGGGATGGGAATGGGGATGGGGATGGGAACACTGAGGCACGTGACATGACAGTTGGAGATTTTCTTTATTTCCAGCATCAAGCTGTGAGCCTGCCTGCTGGTGATGATTTTTTGGATTGTGAGACATAGGAAGTTGTTGAAATCTTGTGATGCATTAAAATTTGCAAGTTTTGACTTGGCTTTGTCTGTCTCTTTGCGTAGGTCTGGTGTGTGTGCCATGGTGTGGGTGTGCGTCGAGTGCGTGTGAGTGACAGTTGTGTGTCAGTGGCACGCTTTTCCAGCTTTCGGGAGACTCACACACACACACACACACACACACACAGACACACCCACTCGAAGAGTCTGGCATTTTATGCAAATGTCGCTTTTCTGCGTAGCTGCCTCGCTTTTTAATGAGCACAAGCACACACACGCACACACACACACACAAAGGGCCGCAATTTACTGGGCTTTCCTTTCTGTGCTTCTGTGTGTTAGTGCCAGAGTCCTGCGACTGTGAAGCAATTAAAACGAAATAAGCAAAGTTCTCTATTTTTTTTTCGCCGCACAAACAATTTTCCAGTTCCGCATCAAGACGAATGCACAAATGTCATAGCCACACACACACAAAGGGAAAATGAAAGTGAAACTCTGTGAGGAAAATCATGCACTTTCTAAAGGTTTAAGTACTGATTAAGGATATAGTATTAATTATATATTACTTACCTGTAAGTAATCATTGATATTTTTGATCTTTTCATATTTAAGAACTCCTTATGCTTAAACCAAACCCACTTAAATTAAAGAAAATGCTTTTAGTCTTAACAAATGTAAAGGAAAGTCAAATATTTTCCATTTTTGAGAAACTTTTCCGGTGTATAAAATAAGGGTCATACCTCAATTAGCCATTGCTGCCCCTCTTTTTTGGGTTAAAAGCCCATTTGCCACTCAATCAGGCGGCATCAAGTATTGCTCTAAAAGCATTTGCAATGCCCTCCCTGCTACTCACTGGCACATTGCATTTGTTATATCCTTGTTATCCTTGATCCTATTTGCGCTTTTCTTTTGCTGCCGCGCTCAAGTGGAAGTGGCCGTGTGCGCATAGGTGTGAAGGTTGCCGCGGGGTAAGGCACCTGGCTTGCAACAGCAACAGCAACAGCATCATCTCGGCAGGACCAGAATGCATCAGCAGGAGCCGCTCATAAAAGGCTAATGCTCTGGGCCGAGTGTGGGGGAGGGGGCCGTGCTGCCATCAAAATGCCCCGGGTGGCTTACAGGTGCAACAACTTGCCAACTGCATTACAATGCCACGTCACATGTGCGACAATCTGTTCCCATTTAAAAGCCAGCCACCGATGGGGTGTTGCTGTTGCTGTTGCCTGGTTGTAAGTCAGTTAGCAAAAGGTGCCCATTAAATATTCACCATTTTATAGAAAAAGCATCAGACGGAAAGAGTTTTAAAGGAAACAAAACAAAAGCATTTAGAGCTTTAAGGGTGTTCATTATCATTTGCAAATTTCTAATAAGAATCTTTATTAGCTTGGATAAAAAATAATCAAATTAGAAAATGAGACATTCATTATTTTTTATAATCTTATTTAAAAATAAAAATGTTATACTTATTTCTTTATAATATTTTATTATACCTATTTAAATATAATTTATTTAATGTTTCCATACTCCGACTTCTCAACAAATGTTGCCGTTTATTTTATTTGAGTCGCAACACTTAACGAATGCAGCATGTTGTATTGTTGCCGGCAGTATTGTATATGCTGCCAGCATTTGCTTATGTTTCAGGAACATGTTGCGTGCGTGGAACCAAGTGATTTGTTGACTGTGTCATGTTGCTAAGTGCTCGAGGGCAATTAAGTTATAAGCAGAGTAAGTTAATCATATAAGAATATCGCAGAGGTAGTCTATTTTTAAGCCAAAGACAAAGTATCAAATGTCATTAGCAAGGTATTTAATTTAATTGGTTACCTTGTTCCTGGGAGCTACTAATCAATGCCAATTAGCTTATTTAAAGAAAACAAAAAACAAGACGGGGAACAAACTGTAGGAAAACTTTATGAATTATATCATAACTAAGGTCAAGAATCTATATTTTTTGATATTTTGTTATACTCAGTTTTTCATTTATTAAAGAACTTATAACTAAGTCAAAAATGCATTAATTTTAATTCGGAAAACTTACCCATGTTAGTTTTTATTAGGTTAACAAACCGGCTTATGATTCTAAAATAGGGTTACAAGCTTCTGACTGAAATTATAATACCCTGCAAGTCTTGTATCATTACATATAAATTTAATTTGGTTTTATAAAGAGCTGAAGTTTCCCTATTAAATTCATAAATAATTCTGTTTTCATTATAATATTAATCTACCTAAGTCACCTCCCCAACTTGAATAATATTCACAATTGTTCTCGAATTAGACCAAAATCCTTATAAATGTCCATTAGAAATGCATCATCATATTACCTAGTGGCTTATGACAGCCTATAAGCTCAGGGAACACAATGAAGCAGTCGGGGGGGACAGGACTCGAAGGCCATTGATAGGCTTGTCGTCGAAGGACGACGATAACAAAGCTCCTTCGGTGGGATAACTCAATTATGGGGTTAGTTATGGGCACGGATCGAGGACCGGGACCTGACCTCGGGTTGAGTGACCGACCTGACCCGCTCGGATAAAGGCTTTCGGCCACTTTGCTGTCAAATTAGTGCCTAGTTCGGGGCGCTTAATTGGCCGTGCCGAAAGTTTTTACACGCAGCCATAAAAGATTTATGGAAATTATGCATGTGTTTTTGTTTATCCTGCGGCGGCAGCGGCAGCGGCAAATCGTCCCGGGATTTATGCTGGCTCCTAATAAATCACACAAATACAGCCACCGGCGTCCATTAATTGGCAACACTCGACCGGTTGCCAAAGGTCACGTCTTGGCAGCATGTTGACAGCGCGCGAGTGCCGAGCAACATGTCGCACGAGCGAAGTTTTCTCTCTCGGGTTATCCATCGGGTTGTTTTCCTTCGGGTTTGCTTCGCTCTCAGATCGTGTTGCTGCCGACAACAGAAGCATGTTGCTGTAAATAGCGCAGCATGTTGCATACGACATGTTGCGTGCAGAGTTCTCCAATGATAAGAAGAGGCCTTAGTAGCTAGATTTGAAGTAAAAATAGCAGCAAATAAGAAATACTATAAATAACTAAAAAAAAAAAATAAAATAAAATTTAATAATTAAAAAAACTAAATATGTATAAACTTAATTATAAAAATATTAAAAATTTTAAGTTGAATTAAATAGGAGTTTGAATAATTAATTTCTTGATTTTCTTTGTTTTTAAATATTTTTACATATTTCAATAAGCATATTTTTTGATGCCCGATGCCTAAACAATCTTTAAATGAGATATATATTTAAAAACTTTATAAATTATTTATTAAATAGATAGAAAAAAAACTAAAAGTCTACAAACCAACAATCATCAGCAATTCTTAAATAATTATTTAATATACAATATAATCAATATGATATATTTTCTTGAATATTACAAATAATTATTTTACATTTTCATACACGCACACATAGCCAGAAAGTAGCCAAATTGACGGCACATGTTGCGTGTTGCTGGATGTTGCTCGAGTTTAACACGTAGCCGACCGGGGACCAGCTCGCTGTGCTCGTGTTTAGTCTTGTCCGTTCTTGTTTGGTTCGTCGCAGCGTTTGGTTCGTCGTGCGCGCGATTTTCGAATTTAGAATCGCCTTTCGGCTTCGCCTCTGCAGCATCCGAGGAGGTATAAATTTCAGCTGGCAGCGGCGTGGAGTCAGCAATCAGCTAGATGGCGATGTTTTTTTGTCAACCTGCGATTTATGTGGCTAATTAGACCAAGAAGAGGCGGCCCATTAGTGCGTGACTCTCGAATGCTGCGCATCCGTATCCGTCAGGTTGCGTGTGCCCCGCCCCCTCGCCAAGAGTAGGGAAAAACAAAGAGAGAAAATAATAAAAGAAAAACCGAATAACACTTCAGTCCTCAAAACACTCGAGAAAAACTGGGAGAAGCCGATTTCCCAACCAAAAAAAGAAGAAAAATCTGCAGTGCAAAAAAGAGGAAAAAATTAAAATTTCGGGCAAAGCGGATTACGAGCGGAGCCACAACAGCCGAAGGCGGCAAAGGAAAAGTGTGTGGGAAAACAACTCTCGAATGGAAAAGTGATTTTGCGGAAAGTGCGTATAGAACAGATAAACACGAGTGAGGAGAAAGTAAATCATATGGAAATTTGAACGCGTCACGCCGGCTCATTAACGTTCTCGAGTTCGATTGTGGTTGAGTGTGTGTGTGTTCCGTGCGTGTTTTCCATCAATTAATTCGAGCATTATAACGCCAGTCAGTTTTTCGCACTTTAAGCGCCAAAAGAAAATAAAACCACCAAACAGCGACAACAGGAGGAAAAATATAAAGATATATGCACATACAAATAAAATAAAGAAAAACCCATAAAAGGCCACGGCAGAGCTGACAAAGAAACAAGCGAAATTAATGACACAATAACACACTGCGGTTTCATTTGTAGTGGTCAGTATCTGTGTGTAACAGTGGCATAGTGTATACGCAGAGTGGGCGCAACAGTTCCTCGATATATCATAATATATAGTACATATACATATATAACCCTCTCCGATCAGTATTCGGTCGCGTGTCGCAATAATTTATCACAATTGTCATCGGGCGAGTGAAAGTGCAGCATCCACAAGATACGAGATACAAATTGTTTATGCAGACATCTTTCCCCAAAATACGGGTCAGTGCATTAGAACAATAGCTGCGAGCGGCAAAAGTTGTTGATAAAGGGAAAACATAAATTAAAGTTAACAGTTTGCCAAGTCGCCAGTGGCCAGTGGCCAGTTGGAGGCCTTGAAAGTTCCTTCCTTCCTTCCTCCGCCGCCGCCTGTTGGATTAGCAAAGCGCAAGAAACCCAAGGGTGAGTCTGAGTCCCACTGATTTGTAGCTGTAAGTCGGGGCTTACAGCTCCATTCGCAGGATAGATCCTTGGTCTCGTCCTTGCCCAGAACTTGAGTGGGTTTGCTTATGGGACAGATTTGTTTGCCTTTCAAATTTTCATGTACGAGTGGGCTGATGGTCACTTCTGGGAAATATGCTTCAAGACGGCTCTGCCCCACGACTGAGATTTATGTAGCATTTACTGGGTTTCCTTTTTGGGGAGAATAAATATTAAATGAAAGTAGATGAATTTAAAAAGGAATATTACTAGGAAAAAAAAACATGACAGTTTTAATGGTAATGCTTTAATGAAATTAAATTAATTAATTAACTGTTAAAGTTACATCAATTAATAAGGTGTTAATCCGGTCAAGCATTTGCTTAAGTATTTACCTAATTAACTATTTAAGGCAATAAACTCTTAAGGAGATTTGTTAAAACTTCTCACTTAACCATAAATATTATGCATATTATTTGTTTATGTAAACAGTTTAGTGATGAATTATTAAAAAAGCAATAGCATCGCTTAATTATTATGAATTATTCATTGAATATAGCTAGCATTTAAAGCAATTAAAATATTTATTTATTTTTCACCTGTTTTTTTAAACTATTTCACATATGTATTTATTAATAGGCTTTGCATTTGCATTAATTTGTTTTAGAAAAATTATGATTCCTGCCTCGCAGTCAGTAAAATTAAACTTTTACTTTTAATATCCTATCTAATTCATTTTTATGTCTATATTTACTTTACTTGACTTAATTTCATAAATCAAAAGCCGGGGATTCCATTGACAAATTCCACTTTCTCCGTTTTACTTTCCAGGCTATCTTTTATCCGTTTCTCTTCTTTTTTTTCTCTCTCTCTCTCTTTGTTTTTTTATTTTTTGGGAACATAACCTTGGCAACAATCCGGTCAAATCTTTGCATGAATTTCGCTAAGCGCTTCTTGGCGCCTCATAACCAAAACAAAACTCCCTTGTGCGTATAGGGAACACACACACACACATCCATCCTTATGTAGTGCCACATATGGCATACATAAAAAGCAAATCACAAAATCCACTGCACCACCTCTGGTACCCCGGAAAAGCAGTAAGCTCATATAAACGCCACCGCCGCAGGATATTTGCAAAGCCAGCGCCGTGAAAGGACCTCCTACTCCGGTTCGGTCCGTGTCCTGGACCAGCACGTATATACATACGGCACAACATATATACCCCTGCATATATATACATACGTACATGCAAGCCTGTCCAGAGTTTAGTCTATTAAGGCAAATAGAAATCCGGCAGAAATATAAAAGGCACAAGCCACACCCGCACAAAGTTGAAAATATGAACAGGACGAAACAGAAACCCAGCGAAACGAAGCGCTGCGTATACAGTTGAGCCTCTGTAAGGGGAGCTGCAGTAATAATACTAAATAATCTATTAAAATATGTTTTAAAACGCTATAAATGCAAGCAGGATCAAAGAAAGAAGTAACTTCTTATTTCTATAAGAAATTCTTTCATTTATTTTCAATTTGCTTTAAATTTACCCCACTTTATTAATGATTTTTAGCGTTCACGCTAAAGATGCTCCACCGTAAAACATAAAATTTGAGGTAAATGTATAAAAAAGAATTCAATTTTAAACAAAATGCCGGGAGCTGCGAAATTGCTGCCAATGGCAATGGTTCTCCCTCCTCTCCGCACCCGAGTGAAATGTGTGTGCTATGTGCAAATATGCGAGTTTTGTGAGTCGGCGATGCTGCTGCCAAAACAATAAAACTTTCAATACATATTTTATTTGACTTTCTACTGCAATTTTATGCATAATAAATTCTCCAACCCAGTAGTCGGTGCTGGGAACAAATGCTTTGGCCCCAAGAGCATTTGGAAAATGTGAAAAATATTATGGGTAAATACGATTCACATGACTAGAAAAACATTGGCCTCGTGTGCGACTTATGCATAATGAAGAGATTCCATTCCATGCCAGCGCAGATTGCAAGATAAACCGGTTAGATCGCTTTAGGCGATATTCGTTTTTGGAATTTCCATTATGTACCAATGGAATTAATCCCGCCTGATCCTTGGTTGGGGAGGTATAGTCGAAAATTAGAATGAATCCTGGCTGGCTGGCTGGTTTGGCACATTTTCCAATTAACGAAATTTACAAAATGCCAACGCGTCCCCGGCTAAGCCTGCAATTAAAAACGTTGAGCACGTAGAGTGCAGGTGACGTCGAACCTTGGACCGCCTGCATCTGCACGTAGTATGCAAATTGTTGCAAATTATCGGCGTAAATTGCATTTGGCTTTAATGAGCAGAGAGAGAGCGAGCGTCTGGAGCAGGTCCTGGCTATGAGAATTCACCCCCCCAAGCTCCTTCGTGAAGCTCAAAGTTCAATTATGCTTCCGCGTCGTCGTTTTCGCCACTGTTTGCATTTAATTTCACATTTTGTCCCTGCTCTGATTTATGTATTTTCTCTCGCCTGCGTAGCGACTTAGCATATTTACTTTGTATCTATTTCCATGCGGATTCAGAGTCGGAATATCTCAAGAGTCGGAGTCGAAGTCGGAGGCTGGGTCTAAGGGAGTAGGCTTCGATTTTATTTGCGTGTTGTCACGTCGCGGCTTCCCAAGAATCGTTTTCGTTGTGCTGATGCCTGATGCTGCTTTTAGATATTTGTGATTCTAATGCCCTTAAAGTGCTCGTCGGTTCCTGATTTGCATATTTGCACACTGATGAAGATGAATACAGACTTTCGTTGACCTTCCACGTCTCAATTTTTGCAATGGAATTCCTTGACCCCACCCCCATACCGAGTGATAGATAAACTTGTTATATTGTTACCTCTTATCACATATTGCTAATTGCCTTCGCCCAGCTAATTGCCGGCAATTCGACGATGGTTCCTCCTTCATGGTTCCCCTTTTTGTGTCTGCCTGCGACTGCCATAATTTATCAATTTGCGCAGCATCTCTGTAAACGAAGCAAATGAAGCGAGCCGGGGAAAACGAGCTTATCTCATGTCAAACACACACTTAAACGGTGGCAAACACACCCCGGAGGGAAATTCTCATACTGAGGAGCAGGAGGATGCTTGTAAATTTTTATTGGCCCTTAATGCAATAGGAAAACTATACGGCAAGCATGAACATTTCCAATTCAATTGGAAATACGTATTAACATGGCCATCTAGTTGCATTGGAATGGACAAATAAAATGCACAGAGAGAAATTAGCATTGATTGAATAGGGGATTTCATGCTGCAGTTTTATATTTTGCCTGTTGAGGCACTTGAGATACTTTAAACCTTAAAAAGGATTATACTCTTCTATCTTACACATTTTTATTTAATAATTTATTGTCTAAATTGTTTAAATTGTTGGTTATATATTCTTAGAAGGTTATCTTGTTAAATTCATGTTACTATACTTTTTGTTAACTTAAATTACTTACTGTATAAACTTTGCTATAGTTTAAAAGAAAACAACAAATATTTGCAGTGCACAGTCAAGCCAGCTTAAAGGACATTTTCCGTGAAGCGAAATGCTGTTGACCAAATGCGATTTCAGCATTAAGCACAGTGAATTGCATTTACCTTGCATATCCTTCTTTTTGTATATAAGAGTTTCTCCCCCCAACTCGTTCGATATCTGCAACGGGGCTTCGATTAATGTCTGAGTCGCTTAATTGGCTTTCTGTGTTGCGATTTCACCTGGATTCCTGCTCCTGCTCCTGCTTCGATCCTGATGGTGATGGCGATGGTGATGCTGCCACCGTCGATGTTTCTGTTGTCGCGGCTCAAGGATAAAACAAAAAGCACACCGCAAGCATTTGCATTTAGATTGAATTCGCTCGGCATTCGTTCGTTCGGAGCGTAGCTTTTTTTTCCAACGCTTTGACTGATGCAAGCTGAGGAAATCAAAATCGCGCTTGTGCCCCCCGAAAAACGGGCACATCCATGCGGGACACCAGATACTAGCACATTTCCAGGAACACAATGGCAGAAATATTGAGAAAAAAACATAAAAAAGAACGAGGCTAAAATAGAAATGGAAATGGAATCATAGAAGCCTTGTTTACCCTGCACTTGCCACCGCTGCTACCCCGCCGTGGGTAGATTTTTGTGGCAAATCTTAATTAAATGCATAATTCGTATTTATTATTCAAATGCTCTTGATTTATGCAAAGCGCGTCGTCGCTGTCGCTGTCTTTGGCATTGTCATTCCCGTTGCCGTTCATAAATATTAATTAGAATATTTTTACTTTAGCCGAATATGAAGAGAAATTTTGCATGCCATCGATTTGAAATTAAATAACTATTATAGCCAAGTGGTCATACCATAAATGCAGAGTTTGTGTGTGCGTGTGTGTTTGCAGTTGAAAAGTGCTTGTATCCCCTTTGAATAAATTAATGTCAAAAGTACTTTGGCTTTTGATTTTGATTGATGATTGTGCAGGGGCCTTAAAGCCACCGGCCACCACAGCTCAGAAACAGCAAAAACCGAGCCGCAAACCCCAACCCTGGCTCTGAAGAGGCAGCATTCAGGATGGCTTTCCCTTTTCGCCAGGACGAGAGCTTGGGTTGGCCTGGCCCTGCGTGTGTGCATAGAAATTACGCATAAATAACCAGCCATGAGAATGCTCGACTTCCGCCCCCAAAGACCGCCCCAGCTATCTGCTGCAGCTTTTGAAAGCGGCTGCTGCTGCTGCATCATCATCATCATCATTATCATCTTTGTTCATCAAGCTCGCTGCATCGTTGACAACGCCAATCCGCAGTCAATGACAGCCAGCTCTGGCTCTGGCTTGGGCACGGCCACGGGCTTTGCCTCCAACTCCGGATCCGCTCTTTTGCCTTACTGCCATGGCTCAAACCGGGTCTCCATGCTACAATTATGCACAGAGGAAAATCTGTGCAGAGTTAAGAAAATTAATTTCTAACTTAATTCATGATTTAAAAATGATATTGCTTTAGTTCA